AAAATCCGATCTTTCCACTATCATATAAATATTATAAATGCGAAAGTTACTTAAAGTTATTATAAATGTTTACTCGATCATTCTGCAACGGTTCAACATATCGTATTGAAATTTGGCAAGGATATAAAACAAAGTCTGGAGTACACACGGGATAAGGTTCATCTACGAGAAATGTCCGGTTCCCGAGGGATACGTAGGTTTTTGTTATTAATATAGTTCGTATGTTTTCTAATACCACGCGGACGAAGTCGCGGGCAACAGCTAGTATTTTATACATTGGATTGTTATTTGACTTTCTGGTAAAATATAAATATGAAATTGTTAATTTCGATCAGGTAAGTTGACAAAGTATTAGGAAACGGCCTTCGCTATGTCGTAACCTCACAAGTTGTTCGCCGCAATGATACAACCGATTTGGGTAATTTGTAATGTAATCACAGGTATTATTATGCAAAGCAACTTGGTCGTGACGATAAAGTTCCGGATTCGATGTTGACTATGAATATAAAGAATAAGGTTAACACTAATGTTAACAATTGGAACGTAAAGTTTTGACTTATATGGTCTGAATTCCCGTCAAATGACTATATATACTCTTCTTACCCGACTGACAGGAGTATTGAATAATGTTTTATCTAATTGATTGTGTACAAATTAAATGTATTATTTTATTAATGACTTCTTACTAGTATTATAAATGCGATAGTTATCTATCTATTTCTTGTTTATGGCTCTCGCACAGCGGATTGGGCTAGTGTCAAGTGTTTATGATTTTATACTTATTTGGAAGAAACTGGCAACAAATCTCTGCTTATGGAAATGCGATTAAGATGGATGGATGTTTGTAGCCTAAACTGCCGAACGGTTCTCGATGAAATTTGTCATAGATGTAGAGGATAGTCTGGCAGAACACATATTGCTTTTGTGTTTTCGGGCGAAAGCTAGTAAGCTTAATATTCAAGCTATGTATTAAAGTATCCAAGTTAGCTTGTTCTCTACATATAGTGAAACATATAAGTGTCACGTGACATCTGATTCTTCATTATGAGTAACGTGGGTCAGTCCCGGGCCGGGAAAACACCTCGATGGTAGACATAGCAATACAAGGCGTTGTAATTCAAATATTCACATCACAATAGTATTTATTGGGTGCTTCAGTGATTGTACTCTAATTTATTTTTTGGAATTTACGCATTATACGAAAAATTTAATGGAAATGTATACATTTGTTGAATTTTCATATCTCTTTCTGTCCACAATAAGACATGAGTGTAGTATACGAGATACACTTCAAATTAGGGGTCAGATAGCTTATCTTGCATAATGATGTAATTACAGATAGCGGTATATACATTGTAACGAGATTGGTGATTTTTAATGTTGATGAAAAATAACTAACATCGCTTCCGTTCTCATTCGCAAAGGTGAAATGAATCGTTCTATTAATAACCCGAGCTAGGGTGTGCGCTGAACTCTGACACCCACGTAAATAGATTAACTGTGCCGTACGTAACGCATCGATTTCTACACATTTGATTATCTATTGGTGACTAAAACGATATCTCGATTCATCGAAGTTACATCTCTAATAGATCCCGTGAGATACGACTCTGTTCAATTGTTTTTCCGACAGTTTTAAATTGAAGTACCGTGAGCTTTTGTGATAAAATAAAACCCGTCAGTTACACGTATAATACCATACATGCTAGTAGTTTTCATGCTAGTATGCTAGCTACAGGCATGTGTATTCTCGCTCTTAGTGACAGAAATCATAAAAATAGTTACTAACGGTATAAGAAAACATACAAACTATAAAAATTACAGAAAGCTACGTATCCCTCGGGAACCGGACATTTCTCGGGGATGAAGCTTATCCCGTGCGTACTCCAGACTTTGTTTTATATCTGTGCTAAAATTTCAATAAGATATGTTGAACGAATGAATCCCACGGGAACCGTAACTATTCCAGGAATAAAAAGTAGCCTATGTGTTCTTCCAGACCATGCTCTAAACCTGTGCCAAATTTCATGGAGATCCGTTCAGCCGTTTAGGCTACAAACGCTAACAAACATCCATCCATCCATCTATGCAGCCATCTAAACTTTCGCATTTATAATATTAGTAAGATTATTTATAACAAATGACAACGCCAATATAATAAATTGGCTTAAATGATACCATCATTCTATTTCTAGACAAAGTATTATGTTATTAATATTTTGGCGCCAAAATAGTAAACTCTAAGCCTTACTAGACACAGCGACACGACTTTTGTTCAGTAAATAGCAATTTGGCACTCGACTGTACTGACTATAATTAACCTGTCTACAGATAACAGAACTTGCTTGCGTATCACTATACATAGATTAGGGGTGTCAATGTGTAATTTAACAAAAGATTAACTTGGAAAATACGTTTAAAGTTTGTAGAAGTAACGCAGTCTAAAGATTAGGACATAAACCACTTTGTTGTATACCGTAGGATTTTACTGTTAGGACATTTATACAAAAATTATTAGTTAACTATTTATTATTAAAAAAAACTAGCTTTCGCTAGCGACACCGTCCGCGTGGAATTAACAATTGAAAGTGAGTATCCTATGTGTTCTTCCAGACTACCTTCTTCGTTTATGCCTAATTTCATCGAGATCCCTTCAGCCGTTTAGGATACAAACTCTAAGAAACATCTATCCATCTATCCATCTAAACTTTCGCATTTATAATATGACAGTTTGTAGTATGTTTACACAAGTGTATACGCAGTAGAAAAAGAATTTACATTAGAGGGTCATTTGATTTAATTTTTTTTATTTTGCATTGAAATAAATCAAGTTTTTTTCTTGTTTCTTCCTTTTCCACGATGTGGCGGATGTGTTGCAAACATTAATGAAACGAATTCCGTTTTAAAACTTAACCATTAACGCTTGTGGGAACTTTATTTAAATTATGTACATTTTCTTACCGAAGTTGAGACAAATATAAGTACTTTAAAAATACATTATTATTTATTCTGTGTAAACTTAATATTATATAAACTGTTAGCGAGTTTTATATATATAAATTGTTTTAATTTTAATTAATTACTGTCCAATCAATGAGTCTTTTATTCGAAATGATCTTGGATCCATTGTATTCCTTATATTTCCGGATACAAAAACATTTCAGTTTTACCCAAAGGTATCAGGATAATCCATTGTTATTGTAAACTGAATTTTAATCGCTACAAATTAGCTCCCGTACATTGTTATAAAATTAAACATCGATCTCACGTTGTACGTCACCGGAAAATTGTATATGCCTGTTTGCGATTTACCCAAAGTACGTTTGGAAGATTGCATGTCGAACTAATTAATTCACATATTAACACTAAACTTGTTATTTCATTGATATGACGCACTGTTAGTCCCCGTTATAATTGTTCCATATGCATGTTGTCGAGATAATTGACCTAGGCAAAATACATACTGGCGACTTCTATATTTTGCCGGTGACAAGCCATGTAAGTTTGTAGTGCTCATTGTGTGCGCTTTTGGTTAGTTGTTCATGTCAAGGCTCCAGCCTTGGACGTATTTGGATGCGGTAATTGTGTTGGTATTGCTTACACTTTCTGATTTTGATTTATTCATGTTCGGTGTTCACATGGTTTCTATACGCCCGACTGACCCAGTAGGGGGTTTTGGATCTCTAACATGGTCCGTTGTTTCTTGTAAGGTTTAAACCATAGACGATGATCTCCTTACTTGTAGGTTAATAAACAAATAAGACTAGCAATGTAAAATAGTTTTGCTGTGTTTTAAAATCATTAATACAAACCAAATTCGGTCAGCAAGGCCTAATCGGATATTTTGAATGCTGATCGATACATGCCTATTTTGGATACTCGACTACACTTGTGTTTTCATAATAGAAATCGATACAAAAGTAATATTTGATATCATATTCTTTTGACTATTGTATTCATTTAGTTCATGTTTTGTTGTTATCATAACATGTTTATAATTACAGTAACAATAAGTTTGCTATGTCGCTTGATGTCGCGTATAATAAACTAAATAATTAAAAATAAAACTGGCGCAAACCGGTCATGAATAATTCATAGATTCCAAGTCCTATAGCATTTTTATAACTGTTTGCCACTTTTAGGTTAAATTGGTCGTTATCAATCGAGTATTCAGGTCAATAATTACTGTTGGTAATTAACCAAACATTTATTATATTGTTGGTATATTTTTTAAATATTTCAACATAATAAATCAGCTGTGTTTTATCCGAGGATGACATCAAAATATCAAGTTTTCGGTTTATAAGATATTTTGACTTGATACGAATCCCTTTTGCAGCCTCAATCATGCTAATTAACTCTTGACAAGCAGAAAGTTTAAATAAAGCCCGCAACACACGTTTAGTAAAGCGTCCTCCAAAATGTTAATTTAATTGACTTAATAACTGTGATAGACTAAACCAGTCATTGAACCACTATAAATCTTCAGCTAAGCGTTTTAACTGAGATGTAATAAATGTTTGTTGCAGCACAATTTATTATAACGGACAATGCCAGTGTTGACCCCAATCCCTAACCTTATTTCTTGTTTTCCCAAGAATTATTATGACGAGACAAATTTACAAAATGGTATGGCTTTCTATGATATTTAATATTGTAGCAATAAATAGAGGTAACGATTATATCAGTTCTGATGCATCTGTTGAGAAGCTTCTGATGCTGATGTTTTTTTTATATTTATTTATGTACTGTACCCTCACATATTTATATTTCTCATTGTATGTAAAAGTTTGTCATAATCTGATTCATTTATTTATCTATGTTTATTAGCAATCGTAAACTTGACACGTAAGTTTTATGTACTGTTATTGTTTGAGTAATGTTTGACCTGTAAACATTGGGATTTGACAATTTAAAGAATCCATATTTGATGTCAAAAAACACTGTTTTAAAACTATTCGTGCAGTCGTAGTATTTGAACAATGATTTTCTATTTGTAGCCCATCAACAACGCAGACTTCGTGGTTCCTGTTGAGATCGACGGCGCGGTGCATCAGGTCTACGTATTGAAGCGGCCGCACGTAGACGAATTCCTGCGTCGATGCGGCGAGCTGTACGAATGCGTGCTGTTCACCGCCTCGCTCGCCAAGTACGCGGACCCCGTTGCCGACCTGCTAGATAGGTGAGACACGGCTCTAGTAACATTGGTCAAATGACAAACATTAAACATTGATCCGGCTCGAAGGACCGTAAAGATAAGAGTGGATTTTTTAACGATTTTCATAACTACGCTTACGCCTATTGTTCTTAACCCTTAATTCGACGGAGGTTTTTTTAGCAAAAAAACTAGATTTTTTATGTTACATTGCACACTATTAAATTAGGGTTAAAATACTGTAGTACCAATAAGCACGATATTTGTAGATTTTATAACTATTTTTAACATAAATCGGAACTACGATGTTGAAAATGTAAGTTATGGCCACCATAGTGCATTCTATTTAGAGTAATGAAGAATAAGCACTTATTAATGCGATCACGTGCCCTGATGACGTCACCTCGAAGACGCGCTGCAATAATAGTAACGTGAGAAAGGGCCACCCATTGTTCAGGATTTATTGTCCTTGTGTAGTCATTTATGTTGAATGATTGCTTGAAAACAATTTCATATTAACAAGAAAACTTTATACATACTGTCCAAAAGATACTACTCTATGACTACGAGCAATTTTCCAAGCTAGGTTAATTTGATGACACATATTTTGTCTCGTCAGTCCACTAAAGTTATTAGTATGGCCTTTAAAACGTAGGACGGCAATAGACTTAACAGTCCTCTAACCCAGTGGATAAATTAATCTTACTGCAGGATCATGTTTCTTTAATTCCTAAAGGGAAAGTAATAAAATGATTTAAAATTGGTTTACTCAGAGCAAATTTCCTTGGTCAAGCTTCTTACGTACTTACGTAAAGTCACGATATGCTTTTACGGCGCGTCCATAGAAGTGATGCATTTTATTAATATTAAGGTGGTTACACAAGGAGATAAGGGTCATATAATTGTTAGTTGTTCAAGGTCCCTCAATACACGTGTTATAAGCGATTATATTGTTATGACGTACCATACTTGTGTTACTTATTCATTAACAAATTATGGCGCCGACAGACAATTAATTCTCCTTGTACCGTGTTTACTATTAGAACATTCCAGACGAAACAAAAGGAATCCATATTTTAAGTCTTATATCGTGTTCCGCTCATTTAAAGTGGCGGTGACTCATATATTGTAGACTAGAAATACCATATCCCATAGAACGAGGGTCTTTGTCTTGTTTATCTATTAACGAGGTCACTTCATTCTTTATTCTATTCTGTATTTTAAATGGCAATTGAATTTATGTACAAGCATAAAAGACCTAGTGCATGTTTTTCATACCATTGAAATTATTAGTAATAACTCGGTATATTGTATATTCCAGATGGGGCGTGTTCCGCGCGCGTTTATTCCGCGACAGCTGCGTGTTCCATCGCGGAAACTACGTAAAGGACCTTAACAGCCTCGGCCGCGACCTACGGCGCGTCGTCATAGTCGACAACTCGCCCGCATCGTACATCTTCCATCCGGATAACGCTGTAAGTATTTTCTACTGAAAACTTTTTTCAGACTTGTGCAAAAGACGCATATTTAATATTGAATTTTGTGTCTTTCATGACAGGTACCTGTCGTGTCCTGGTTCGACGACATGACGGATTCAGAACTATTAGACCTCATACCGTTCTTTGAGAAGCTGAGCAAAGTTGACAGTGTGTACACAGTGCTACGTAATTCCAACCATCCATACAACCCGGCGCAGGGCAGCCCGCCGCCCGCATAGCCGGGCCACGCGCCCCCCGCGCCCGCCGCGACCGCCGCGCCCGGCGGGGGGCGGGGCCGCGCGGACACGCATCCGTCCCGCGAGTCGCGTCTCAAGGTCGTCATCCGCGAGACCCGCGTCTGCAGCGACCCGTACGTGTACCGCCAGCTGCCCTGCGTACTCGAGACCCGCGCGCCCACCGCGCCCCCTGCGCCCGCCGCGCCCCCCGCGCCGGCCCCCCGCCCCCCGCACCCGTTCACGACCTTCCTCGAAAGTGTCGTGAAACGAGGAGCGAACTTCGTATTAAGTGCCAATTTTGCCTTCTGGATAGTAAGGACGTTATTTGTACCTATTATACATTTTAGGTATTTCTTAGTGCGTAAGTGGTCCCTATGATGGATTTGTATTTTTTTTTTAAATTTAACTTATCCCTCTATCGCTGTGAAAATATCGATGTTTTAGTCGTAGGTGTCTTATTAATCGATAAAATAAACGATCGATGTCTTTTTATATCGCGCTTGGGATCAAATATAAATTAGGGAGGTTGCAGTTGTGAAATTATTAATTGCTTCGTGTGTCCACTAGGGATGTCGATGTTAATATTGTTTCTTGTATAAAAATTGGCAGGTATACGAAAAGCATTTAGAATTTCCAGCGCAAATTAACCCGCAATGTTAATGAGATTGGTGTTGCAAGACACAACGCAATGTCGATATTTTTTGTGTTCCCGTTGTACATCCCTAGTTCCCGCTACTTTTGTATTGTTTTTGCGTTTTTACAATTAATCGACTCGAAAGTGATTACGAATTTTAAAATTCGACTGGTTTACTCTTAGTACGACTGTACAGAGGTGTAAATATATTTTTATTATAAGCGAAAGTGGAAAAAATATCTATAAAAGAAAATCGTATCGAAAATGTATGAAACTATTTCACATGTAGGAATGTCATGAAAATCGAACTGATGACAACATAAGGAATACATATGAATTTAGTTAATAATTAGTGCCTGATTCGATTGACTATGTATTATATATTGTATAAACATATTGTAAAATTACTGATGAGCTTGTTGCCATTTTACACCATAGACATTAAAATCGAATGAATTATTTAAATACATAAATTATTAATTTTACACCATCAATATGTGTTGGCCATATTTATGTTATGACACATGTAAAGGAAAAACTAGCAACATTTAATTTTTATTTCGTTAGAAACATGTTTCTAATGAATTGACAGCTAACGTGAGTTGTGCAAAGTTAATGTTGATTGTTTTAGACTAATTTGCTTCTCTTACGATTTATTAAATCTAATGGCAGCGAACTTCGAACTTGTGTTTGACGGATATTCGATTGTTCATTTCTTATCTTTATAATTTTGCATCTGTAATACATCTACACTCTCCAGCGGCAAAAAAACTCGTTTAAAGTATTTCGTTAGAAACATGTTTCTAATGAAATGTTTTTATTAAAATTCTATTACTATCTTGATGGTTTTTTTTATTAATTTGCCGATGATTATCAAATGAACAGTCGTATATCAATGACAAGTATATTATTGTATGTATTTTTTTAACAAAATTATATCGATGACAATAAAATTAGCATCCTTAAAACATCAAACTGCAAAACCCAAGGAAACATGTTTTTAGTGAAAAATAGACATTTCAAAATCAGTACAAAAATATCTTGTTCCTAACAAAATTGAAACGGTCTATGAAAATGATTGTAGTTCCTACTATAAGAGTTGGAATGTTTTTTGGGATTTGCAGACAAGAGAGACATATCTAATATTTTTTTAATTTTATTATTTTCGACATGAAATATGCTATATCAAGAAAAAATATATGTTTTATGAATTTATTTTCAATTATTGATCGTTCAAAACGCTACATTATCCACACAGTATTACCTAGTTGTATAGATGACTTAATTATTTTAAATCTGAAAAAAAAAAACACAAAATTTACTGCCTTATCAGTTAACAAAAATATGCCCCATTGAAAAAAACTGCTTTAAAACTAAAGGAAATTAATTGTCAAAAAATGTCATACGCATTTTCTGATTATAGTCCTAGTTGTGGTACAGCTTAGTTCACACTAAAGTCTAATATAAAATAAGAGCGAGTACACACAAGGCGTTAGAAACCGCGATTTAGTACTCGACAGAAAAAAAAACGCGCGTTTTTTTAACGCCTTTGTGTTACTTTCATTGGCAGTGTTGAAATTTCACTGCAACAATATTTGTTATAAACAGTGTAAACCCACACTAATAATAGCAATAAGCTGAAAAAATCCCACCTGATAACATTCAATGGTACAAACTAGCGTACTATAAAATACCACGTAAATATTGACTGGCGTTTACCATCTGTACTGTTTGCTCGTTTTTTATAAAAATAAAAAATTTAAAATTAACCCTATATTATACTTCATTTTTAAATGTATTTTTGGACCTTGTGAATATTTAAGAAACGTACTTGTAACATTTGCGATGCAACCTGTTCACGGTTTCAACGAAAAAGCGCAAAATTCAAAATTGTAATCGATCTATTTCGTGTATAATCGATTTGATTCGATTAATTAGGTAATATAAAATGGTGCTTACAGTATTAGTTGATTAAGCGATTGGAAAAATGACTGTAATTTTTTTTTCTTAGTATTCGTAACGCACATTCGGCTTTGTGTTCGACTTGGCGATAAAACAACGGGCAGTGGCTCACGTTTTTTTTAAATTCGTTTTTAATTAAAAAATCAAACATCAATACTGCAGTATACAGTTTATTTTTTAATTCTCTTTGGCTAACCATAAGCCATCTATTTATTGTTTGCTTAGCAAAAAGTTTTTTTATTGTTTATTTTTTCTTTTATAATAACAAATCAATCTATTGTTTCTATAGCGGATGTGTAAATAAGATTTTTTTATTAACTTTAAATCGGATAACTCATTTTTTTTGTAAAATCACGTTTTTTTATAGATGGAATTATTTTCTTAATCTACATGTTAGTTTGTTATTTAGTGACTATGCCGGTGTATATAACCTCTACATATAGTTACTAGATATACAATACGGCTAGTTATAAGGCTATGTGTCTACGTAATCCTTACCAACTGCACAGGTTATATTAATATGTCAAGTGTACTAACATACGGAATTTTAAATATATTATAATAGGTCAATTACCCACATTGCACTACACGGTACAAACTCAGTATGTTTCTCACGTATATATATGCACGTGTTTGTACAGTCAGCGACATATGTATGTAAAAATGTACAGGAGATAACTAAAGTGAAATATATGAAAATAGATTATGAAAAATTAACTACAATAATTCTAATATGCTTAAAGATTTTAAAAGACAGTATATTACTAGATATGTAAATTAAATGTGGTTTTGGAATATCACAGAAATGCGACGCTGACTGTACTTCGTTTGCTTTTGAAGTTTTTTCCCCATACATATCGCGTGGTGTTTCGAATGCTTCGTATATCGATGAAGATATCTGCAGTTGTCAAATTCGCGGCATTTATTTATAAGCATTAACAACTCAAATCTGCTCGCTTTAACATATAAAACAAAAAAGTGTTAAAACATAATATAAAAAATGATTTACTCGAAACAAAAAAAAATTTGAAATTTGTTTTCATCCAATAAGCAATAATTGTAACATATAAGGTTATTTTTTTAAATTGTTCGATAGTATTTTTTGTTAAAAAATGTTACGAAAAAGCGAGCAGAACGTAGACATAAAACGTTATAGTAATTTATATGTTGATTTCTCTAGTTGTAAGCGTTCAGACTAAATAGTCAATACCTCCCTGTGAATTATTTTATAACCTCTAACTTATAGATATACAATCTATGAAAACAAAAACGTCTTTCGAGGGCTTTTTGTAAATTTTCAGTGTGTCATTGACGATAAAAAATGACAACTACGAAAATTGGATGTCATACTTTTATGACACTCCATCTATAGATTGTATATCTATGTTCTAACCTTAATCGCTATATGTTTCGACTCCGGAATCGTCCAATTATATAATTATTATAAGTAACTTAAATATTATTAATTTGTTTTGATTACATGCAATAAAATTCGATTGATATTTTGCTAATAATGTCTTTATGTGTAAAGAATGAAATAAAAATTATTTTATAACATAACGATTTTAACTAGAGTTGTTGTATAGTTGATTTCACATGTTTTTGTATTAAATATAAATGTAATTTAATCGATAAATTAAGGTATTTTTTATGGAACGATTAACGCAATAAACATTTGTTGTTATGTATCACTTGCACTAAGGATTTTTTAATTAGGCGAACTCGATGTCTTTGGTGCTTTTGAATGAGTGCTGGAGTAAAAAGAAAAAAAAACTTAACTTCTCAGAAAATTAAAATTTGAATTCAAAAATCGAAAATGTTTTCTTTTTCTAGGAACTTTCAATATTATAATCTCGAAATCGCACGTTATTTTTTTTAATATCGGTGATAATTTAAAGCATATGCCATTAAAAATCATAGTTGCCATGTTAATATTAAATTTGAAATAATCCATGCTGCTTACCTTCAAGTTGAATTCAATGTGACACACTTCGATCAGTCTACATTTTAATGCCACCGACTCGAGACGATTTTACTCTTTGCGATAAACGCATATTATGTGTGAACAAAGTACAAAATCGCAAAGAACAAATTGTTATAAAACTAAATTATCATGAAATGTGTGAATTATTTCGACGCAACATTTTGTTCTTGCCTTTACAGTAAAAATATGCTCCCCCATTTTTTAATCTAGCAACATTAACTTCTGTCATTTTCAATGCTATGGCAATTTACGTGAATTGAAAATTACTTTAAATTGCTTATTTTCTCTATTAATATTTGATGTATTTTAAATAAATCATTTACAAGTGCAATGTTTGGTAATTATTGTTCTAACATCACGTGGTTTAAATTGTTTTAAAAATGAATTGATGTTCGCATAATGTAGATATTTGTACAGCGATACCGTGAGTTTTCACTGCCGAAACTACGTAACAAATTGTTATTTCCCTTTTTACAGCTAATGAGAGGGTAATTCTTTCTATTATGTTTCCGCAGTGGAAATCCACGCTTACAGGACAGTAGAATTCACCTGTACAAGTAATCAGATAGATGGAACCAAGTCAACGAAAACATGAGTTGGAATTTATAACGTAAATACGGACCAAAAGCCTGATTTCATTAACTTTTATCGGGAGATTGTTTTAAATATACATTAATTTCTAACTTTTATGTACTATCAGGGAATATTGCGGTATACCTTATAAGCAACAGTCGTAACGTCTTGAATCAGTTTTAAGCTTGCTAGTTACGACTCTTCAACGAGTTAGTTGCAACGACGCAATTTTTCTATAAGTGGAATACCGCGAATTGTCCTGATTGTACATGCATTTTTATGTATTAATCATTTTGTTTGGATGTCCCATCTATCTGATATTGTACTCAGAGTTTAGCGACGTGAGAAGACTATAATATTGTAACGGAGTGTGGCGTGCGATAGCTAGGTAACATTTACCTGAACACGTTTATATATCGGTGTACATTTTTGATATCATGTTGTACAAAAGAGACATTTCGTATGTTATTTTATAGGAATGAAATAAATAGCCTTAATAAATAATAATGTGTATTATTTTTTCTTACATTTAACGTAATATAAATGCGAAAGTTTAGATGGAAGTTTTTTTACAGTTTGTTGCCTAAACGGCTTAACGGATCTCGATGAGATTTGGCATAGTTTAAGAACAGTCTGGAAGAATAAAGGCTACTAAAGGGCGCGAAAGCTAGTATAGAAATAAAAGATTTTGTTATTTGAGAACTATAATGTATTGCTATATATTTTTTAATTTTAAATACACACAAATGACAAGAAAATATTTATTATATACGTAACATTCTACCTACAATGATATGGTTCTTCGTTAACATCTTACTCTATGGTCAATAAAAGTAAACATTTGTTTATGTACATTTGTTCTTTGGTGTTGCCATAAATGGACATATGTTTTACAATTTTTAATCTATAAAACATTTATTATCAAACAAAGCTACATAAAACATTTTGTACTATGGAGTTTTAGGTTAATGTTGGGAATTATAGAACTCATGTTTTTTTTTTACTGCAGTAGCATCTTAACATAAATATACAGTTCTCAGTGTTCGGAAAAATAATGAAAGACATTTGCATAGATAAATTAAGTTACAAATACAAGTTATTTACTCTGTGTTGAATTTGATGAAAACATTTTCGAGAAATACTAGATACTGAGAATTTTCTTATGATTAGGCCTACATATTGCTCTCTTTCTGCACAAACACGACCTTAAATCTAAAGCTTAATTAGAGACAATTACATCACAAATAAAATTAATTAAAGCGCATTAAAATTGAACTTTACTTAGTAAATGGATGTTAACATTTAAAATAATAAATAATTTCATAATTAATATAAAAAATAATTTGGCAAGTTACCAATAAATATACTATTTTAACAACATTTATCCTTTAAATGCATATTTTTGCAAAAAAACTAAAAACAAAAATATAGTTTTTATTGAAACCAAGATTTTTTTTTTAAATTATCTTTCCCTTAATCTGTGACTCAAAACCTATACTAAAATATTTATTGCAAAATTTTAAAAAAATATGCATTCAAGGGTAAAGCACGTAAAAAACATAACATAACAATTATAACTTAATACGAAAAGATAAATATTAAAGAATAATCATGAAAATAAACATAATATAGATTTATATTAGTACATAAAAAGCACATTTGATCAAAAAAAAAACAAAGTTTCAAATTAAACTTGAGTATTTGCATATACCGGTGGGACTCAAAACACAATTCGTCTCGTATTAAAATAATAATTATTTTTTTGGTTAAAAAAATTTTTAAAAAAATTGACAAAATAAAACATTTCGATAATTTTGGCACATTAACATAAAGCGTTTTATTAAATACAATCACATTTTACATAAAATACTGTAACTCGATTTTAATAAGCAATCCAATTTAAAAACATATTTTGAAGCCTAAATACATAAACTTCCACACAATTAACTCCTAACTAACGAGTAACTACTCCTAAAATCTATAAGGGAATGTTTTGAAACACTTTTTTTAAATTATTAACCTATAAAATCCTTATAACAAACGGACTGCATCATATTCTAATAAATTAAAAACATCTTAAAAAAATAATGATATATGTTGCCATATAAAAATAATAGAAATCTACATTTTTAAACTGTGAAACGGAAATTAAAACAAAAACGACTTACGTATTGAGATCATGAATAAAATTGCTCGCTGTTAATTGATGGACATCTTCTCTTGAAGTATTTGGAAGTAACAAGCCTGGAAACAGACGTAATATTTCAATTTTTTTTAGGACTAGTTTACAAAATGAGAATATTTCATATTTAATCTATATACTAATACTATGAATATTATAAAGAGGAAAAATTGTATTTTGGGCTTTTTTATGATTTGAAACAACTCAAAAACTACTGAGCTGTTAAAATTTATTTTCACCGTTAGAAAGGTAATTTATCTGTGATAAAGCTAAATTTTGTATTATTTATTTGATTTCACGCTGACAAAGTCGAGAGCAACTATCTAAAAAAAATTGGTCCAACTTATTGTAATACCGCGAGTAAAAATACAAATCAAACTTGTTCAAGGTCACAGACATACTAGTAATATTATATGGATGGATGTTAGAGTTTGTAGCTTAAACTGCTAAACGGATATTGATAAAATTTGGTATAGATGTAGAGGATAGTTTGGAAGAACACATATCCTACATTTTTGTTTTTATTTTTAATTCCACATGGACGGAGTCGCGGGGGAAAGCTAGTAGATCATAAGTGTACTTAGATAGAGGTAAAAAACTTTCTTACGCTATGAATTCTAGAAACAATATTAATAAGGTCAGTAATGGAGGTGTCAGGAGTACCTTGAGCGTGGTGAACATGAGGCCGAGCTCGCCGCACTGCGCGCCGGGCTCCAGGAAGTCCTCCAGGAAGTGCAGCTCCGAGCCCAGCTGCAGCACGCGCGCGCGCACCACCACCCACTGGAACACCGGGAACAGCTCGTCCATGCCCCACAGGTAGCTGCAGCCTGGCAACACACGCCCGGCCACAGACTTCAGTCATGTACAATGGAGGACATACGCGGTGTTACATGTACAGGCAAATTGCCTCGTGCCTTAAGAGACAAACTACTCCTCTTACAAATAACCAATTCGGTAGCAATGAGTTTCCAAAATCACGGAATGATGGTAACAATTAATTAGCCAAGTATCACTGATCGTGTGTATTTCCTACTTTTTTACATTCACATTTATAAGCTGTGTCTCAATGCTTACAAAACGCTCATTATTATAACATCTACCTATTTTTAGAAGCAAATAAGAAGTTAAAATGTTTATCGTAATTTTAAAGTGGAACACCGTTAATGTACGCGACTGTACATTACGAACCTATCGGAATAATATGAAAAATCGATATGAAGATATTAATAAAAACATATTAGTGGTTAACCTAGCTGCTGTTGAACGGCGGTGGTCATCTTCTGGAAGGTAGTGCGGATAACGAGCAGTTTCTCGACGGGAGAGAAGGTGGTTTTGAGCTGCTGCAGCGTCTCCACCGCATCTTGGAACAGCTCCAACTGAGCCTGCGCCGGTGAAGTTTGCCCCTGACCGTTAGGGTAACCTACCCAGAACTTCCTACAACGTGAACGGAAAAACAGCTTTTTTACTACCGTTTTTAGTATTTCGTCCATCAAGAAAATGCTAAGTGTTTTGTATTGCCGAAACTTAACAAAGAAGCAGAAATTATCATGTTTCTCATTGTTTTATATATAAGATTGTATTGCCACTATCAAGCCTGGGCAATATAAGTAATATTGTGTGAGCCAAAATGGGAAGGTGTAATTGTTAACAAACAATTATCATAGGATGGATGGTTATCATAGGATAGTTGTATAGTACCGATCGATGCCGAGGAAGGCCATGAGCGCGAGATCTGGCTGCCTGTTCCATTTAAGCAGACGTCTCCAATACAGATCGTCTTCACGCTTGTTGTGCAGTGCGTATAGCACGAAGAGCGCGGGGTGCACGCGCGGGAGTAGCACGCCCTGCGCCAGCCGCGCGCCGCTCGCCACCTCGCTGACACAGTTCCACAGTGAGAGCCTGCTTTAATATCCACGATACCACAAACAGAAGACACCCTTCAAGTGGAAGTTATCCTGTGTAGTCTGAAGTATGAGTGCTTGAGGCCTAATTTTAGTCCCCTCTTGTTGCATAATTTGGTGACGTAAGAGACGTATAATACGGGAAATTTACTCTACGAATATTAGTTACCTAACGATACTGATCATATTTATGAATTAAAAAATTCTACAAACAGCTAAATTTATGGTCCATTGCATTAAATACATCAATGTGCGAACGCGCGTAAGAAGATAATCGTAATTTCCGCGCATTCCATTCATAAAATACCGTAATGACCCCGATACGGCCTACATTTTCATTGATGAGTATTGTGTCCATATTTTCACGGGATTTAAACATTGCTTTTACAACTTTATTATTGAGTTAAAAAACTGGCTACTATTTAAAATCATATATTTTATAAGTAAGAATAACATAACTATAATGCAGAAGTAATATTTTAATTCCATATCTACGGATTACAAACAAAAATGGCGCGCTAATTTTTAAAACTCAATAACACGACAGCTGTCATAGGGGATGTGATCGTCTCCAATCGGTCTAGTGTTGTCACCGGCATAGATTAACTTATCACTAAAAACAATAACCATACATACCCTTCAATGGGATCAGTTTCCTCGGAGTCAGGATACGGCAGCACTGTTTCCACGCCTTCTGGCGGTAGAGCAGGAAACAGGAGGCGCACAAGGCGGTAGAGCCGCGCAGTTAGACTGCGCAGCTCCGCTACCGCGTGGCTCAGTAATAACGGATGCACGCGCACACCGCCGTACGTCGTATTAAACGCGCCACTGACGCCCAGCACTAGCTGGCCTAGAGGATGGTGGGTAGACTCACAAGCCTATAGTAATAGATATACTTTTAAAATATATACGGTATTAAAATGGCCACATATTTGTCAAAACAATACCAAATAATGTAATGTGTGAATTAAAATAAATACATTAATATTTTAAAAGCGAATGTTTATGCGGATGGATGTTTGGTAGAGTTTGTAGCCTAAACGGCAGAACGGATTACAATGAAATTCGGTAGATATAGAGGATAGTCTGTAAGAAAACATAGGATACTCATTTTTTTTTAATTCTACGCGGACCGAATAGCGGGCGAACGCTAGTATGTTATAAACTAAGCGACCAGTGGGTACGCTTAAATCTTGTCGGGTTTTTTTTTTACTGCTTTAAATAGTTTTATTGTATTTTAAATTTTTGGTTTAAAAAATAAAAAAAGGGCCGAAAATACTGTAATGGCACAGAAAATAAAATTTTATTTTATCACATAAATCTAAAAATGCGTATGAATATAATATTTAAATCATAATGCTTTCAATATTTTTTTTATTTATACTTAACATGTTATAAAATCTTTAATTTTAAGGTTTAGAAATCTAAGATAAAATTGATAATTTGTACTATAATTATACTCACATTATAAAAATACTGCTTCACTTCCATATAATCAGCATAATTCAACGTCTTCTGTCCAAACTGCGGTATGACTTCCAAACAGTCAACAGACTTCTCTATATCCGTCCCTTTCCCTGGTCGATGTTTCGCCTTATGAGAGCAAGAGATAGCGACAGCGACGTTCTGCCATATCTTGACGTTATCCACTGCGGGCACTGTAGGGCCGGTCGCGAAATGGTTACCAGTCGGAGTCAGCAATGTATCTGACACGCCAAGACATTGGAAACATTGTCGGAATAGCGCGTTCCATTTCTGGTTAGGTGCTACACTTAATTTGCCAAATGAACTGTAAAAACGAAGATTAAAAGTTTGACTATAGAAAAAAAGAATTAACATGACTCTAAAAAGTCATTTATAATCATACTTTGGTTTAGAATTTGCCGGTGGTGCTGGATTCGATACATTTAGCTGCATGACAGCATTGCTTAGCTTGACTCCATCTGTCCAGGCCCCGCTGAGACAGCCTTCAATACGATCCCCACTGGAGAAGGTCAGCACGCCCTTGCCGGAGAACACGCCTGCCGCACGGAACTCACCCTCGTAGTGAGTTCCGTCTTCAAACACCATAACACCGTGACCCTAAGGAATACGAGATGTAACGAATTCCAGATTAAGCTAATTTTATGAGTCTTATAAATAGATAATATTTCTTTATAATGTACTAACTTTCGCCCACGACTCCGTCCGTGTGGTATTAAAAAAAACAAAAGTGAGTAACCTATGTGTTCTTCCAGACTATCATCTACATTTCTACCAAATTTCATCGAAATCCGTTCAGCCGTTTAGGCTACAAACTCTAACAAACATCCATCCATCCATCCATCTAAACTTTCGCATTTATAATATTAGTATGAAGTATGAAGTATGATGAACTCATATCGTGACGAGCTGTTTGCAAATCGAGGTCAATAACGTGCATATTAATGAGAAATCGTTTTATTATCTGTTTTTCTTCTAATATATTTAACCTATGCAAACCCAAAGAAATCAATACATCTTAAATAGAGATTAATTTAAACAAATGAAAACAATAATGTGTTTGTGTAGTTTAAACGCGTTAATATTTTGTTTTTTTTTCTAATCTGTGGTAATTAATGCTCAAAACTGTAACAAGAATGAGACAAATATGAACTTATCTCAGTATTTACTATACAGTAGTAAATATAATTATTAATTATTATAGAATGTAAACATTGATAGTGAAGTTTACAATGTTTCTTAATTACCTCTTTTACTATTTATGAGTGGAGATTATTGAACTAAATATTAAATCACATCTTGAGTTCCTAGTACAGAAAACTTGTTTTTTAACATATTGTCGTCCCTTTTATTCCAATCGAAAATAACAGAGAAAGCAATATTTGTTCAGTTATTGTATATACGCGATTATTTTGTTTCTGTTAGATATATTTTTGCTAAAGCTCTCTGTGAAACATTCTTGTATCAATCAATGAGTAATAATTGACGGAAATGTGAATCAGATTGATAAAAATAATAAGATAAACATATAATTTTAAATTGCCATTTTTGTAAGAGGGGAATTCACTATTTCGAAGCGTTAGTCATACGGTTCCATGGTGTAATGGTTAGCACTCTGGACTTTGAATCCAGCGATCCGAGTTCAAATCTCGGTGGAACCTGAGTTGATTACTTTTTGTTTTTATTTTTTTTTTGTTTTAAGCAATAAATTTAATTAGATTAGATTTAAAAATTAATCTCATTTTTTTTAATTAAACTAACCTTTAAGTTTTTGTTAACATCAAATTATGAATTGTTAAATCGGTATTTCATTTAAAAAGTGACATAACAGTTTTACTGTTATGACGAAAGAAGCACAAATATCTGCATAAAACGTGAGCTACTAATTCAATAAAGATAAAAAAATATCACGTACGTAAACTTCAACAAACCGTTAGAACATCTTGCGTGAACAATCCTTCGTAGTAAATCCCGTCCAAGGTCACAATGAGGCCGCAACCGTGTTTTTTATTATCACTCCAATTGCCTAAATATTTTTCGCCTTTACTTATATCATCCATTACACCGTAACCCTGGCGTACTCCGTTCACCCATTCTCCGGTGTAAATTGTCGCGTTCGAAGACTTAAAATCGCCTTGCTTTTTCACACCATGACCGTGGGGATTCCCCTCTTTGAAATACCCTTCGTATATATCACCGGAAAGATATTTCATTACCCCATATCCGCTTTGGAGATTATCTTTCCAATGGCCTTCGTATGTTCCTAAAATAGGGAATTAAAATTATTTTAGTATCTAATTAGAGAAGCTATTGTACAGATAGTTTCGAGTTTATATGACGTGTATAACAAATTAAAACTGATCTAGAATGTTCTAGCATAAAAAAAATTACGTTAGATTCTTACCTATATTTGGAATTTCCATTTTACCATGCCCACAAAGTGCATTAAACTGTAACTGCCCTACATAAAGTTTTCCATCAGTCCATTCAACTTTCCCATGGCCATGCATTTTCCCATCCAACCATCTCCCATGATATTTAGCTTCCTTGTAAAATGTACTTTTACTTGAAAATGTGTAACTTGCTGTTCTTACTGCAGGCGGTTTGAACATAGTTTCCTTGTTTAAAGCTGTCCTTATTGACGTATTGAATGAGCTGATCCATTCAGATTTCTCTTGCTCTGTATTTGTTGATACTGAGATAGTTTCCTCTGGAGTGATAAGCTGTATAGCATTTTGCAGAGAATCAGTGTTAGGTACAGCTTCAACCCATAATGTTTCAATAGGATGGACATTAATAACACTGCCACACATATGGACAAATAAGTCATTAAATAAAATAAACCAATGTGTACTAAAACGTCCAGGGTTCACTAAGTTTAGCTGTCGAGATTTTGACTCCCTTACCAATCGTCTTTCGGGCGTTCTGTATTGCTCCAATGGTTTCCCAATACTTTCCCAAAATAATTTCGTCAGATCTGCTTCTTTTCTTTTCTTTTCTTGATCATCAATTAAACTGTCCAAAGATGATATGACTTTATTCAATTTATCCTCTATATTTGATTTTACCTCACTTTTTTTTCTTTTAGTTTTATGTCTTAGTAATGTTTGTGAGATACATTTGTATGAGCTCAGCCTTATTAATGGTTGGACAAAGGCCAATGCCACAACAGCTTCTAAGGTTTTCTTATTATTTTTCTGTTTATTTGTTGGCAGCTGGTCACTAAATAAATTATAAACACTTGATGGCACATCAACAACATTATTTATATGAGCAAATCCACCAATAACAATCAAATTGCTTATAGCTAAGTAATACTTTCTATACAAATAAATATACTCTTCTATATTTTTTATTAATGGTATATCACATTCATTTATGTGCTTTTCAGCATATTGCCAAATGGACAACACATTCAGAGCTGTTATATTTAAAATGTCACCAAATATATCACATATGTTCTCATACACATTGGAATGTTGTGTTATTGCTTTGCTTTTCTTTAGAAAAGGTTTAACCAGCGACTGGTGAATTAAAATCATTTCTTCCAAATATCTTTGAGCAATAGATAAATTTTGAAAGTCTGGACTGACGATAGACTCTTCTAGGGAACAATAACTTATGTTACCAGATGATAAAACTCTCCAATGATAGCAAATATTCTGGGGCTTTCTGGTATATGTTTGGGGCTGATTTATTTTAACAGTAAGGCTCTTGACATTTACACTTTGTTCATCTTTTTTCTCATTTAAATTCACTATGGATTCTGTAAAACCTTCAGTATGCTTCCCCATGTAAAATACATTCTCATTCTGTGTATATGCAAGTGTATGGTGATCAGTTGCAATCATATCTCTTATCCTGTCACTGTCAGAATTTTCTGTAAACTGTTTTGGACCACTCTTGTCTTCTCTGGAATCAAAACTAACTTGATGGAAATGATTGTAGCCCCATACAAACAATCTTCCATCCAGTGTTAACGCTGCACAATGCCATTTCCCACAGGAAACCTTTTGTAATCCAAAACCTGATAAACTCATAACTACCATTGGCTTTATCCTTTTAACTGTATCTCCAATTCCTAGTTGTCCATAAGTTATATCACCCCAAGTCCATAATTCAGTAGCTAAAATATTTTTACCGAGTTTGGACATGTTCTTAAGACTTTCAGTCTTCCTTGCTGCTTCAAAGTCCTTCTCACTGCTGATTGTACTTGTTGAAAATTGTAAGTCTTCAAAATTACCATTTGATGCACAACTATACATTAGAGAATTGACTTCTTCAATTTGGATATTACTTTGAGGTTCAATATCATTATTATCACTACTACCACTTACATGTCTGGATAATGTGGCAACTTTATCACCAACAGTCTTCACCCCTTCATATACCAGATTTGTCAGATTAGATACATTTTCTTTAATTATTCTTGTTGGTTTCTCTGTATATTCCACAAGGTAATCTTCACCCACTGATACCCAAGACAGCTGTCTACTTAAAAATTGTCTTGCTGCATCAGTATTAATGAAGATATTGTTTATTTTGTCTGTACTTCCTTGAGCAGATCCATTTTCTTCTTCTTTACCATTATCATCGAAATCATTATCATGTAGTTTATCATTACTCTCTAAATTATTACTTTGAACCTTATCTTTTGTAATCTTTGATTCTTCAGAGGAGGGACTAGAGTCTTCTGTAAAACTTTGAGCATCAACATGGACATCTGTTTGTGGTGCTGTAGTGCTGCTGGAATCCTCGCTTGATTTACTGATATGCACTCCAAGAGGACAAGTCTCTGACAAAGATGGGACTGACGCAGGTGATGCTAGCCCAATTATTGTCTGACATTGTGAACAATTTGATGCAAAAACCTCCTCATCATCATTGTCACTATCAGTGTCACAATTTCCAGAGTGTTTCACATTCTTTCTAACAATCACTGCACCAAAATTTTGACCCACAGAAGCACTGTACACTGTTCTACCTTCGAAAAACGGAACTTTTTTAATACTAGAACTGTCTAAAGCTATTTGTGGCATAACACCTGAGCCCCATAGTTGACCTTCACTGCTAATAAAAAGCTGCCCAAAATCACTTGTCACTACATTTCTAAACTTTACTTTATAACTGTTACTTTTAAAACCATGAGGACAACATCTGGAATCTTCTTTAACGATAATTTCTTCTTTGTTTGTAAAGTTAATGTTTGTTTTATAAAGTCTTCCATGGCCATCTATAACATAAAGAATTTCGTTGTGATAAGATATGTCGATTGCTGAAATACCTGTGACCTTTTTAAAATCTAACGAATCCCCTTCAACAGTACAATAATACACTCCATGATCGCTTCCTAACACGATACAGTCTGTGCCTAAAGAACACAGTTTCACAACTTTGTCAGGTACGTTTTGTGACGAGGAAATCTTCAGTGGTGTTAATCCACACCAAAATTTGTGTTCACTCATTTTTAGAATATTCACTTTCTCTTGGGATTAGATTAATCATTATGCAGTTTATTACTTCATTTAATTATTACAATGTCGGGTTCTCTCCGCTTGTAATATAAGACGGGCGGTTTTTATTTCTACTTGAACTTTAAATTTACGATTTTTAATCACTACAAAGCATTTGCAAAAGCTTCATTCTAATAGAATTCCTATTATTTCTTTCAAATTCAAAATAAATATCATTGTGATAATGATAATGAAAACTGACACTGACATTAAGTTAAGACCCATTCTGTCACCTGTCATTCTTTCATGTCAAACAATCTAGATTATACAATTGAAAAAAGAACTAGATTTAATCCACCTCTAATTTATAATTTTATTTTAGGGTATATCGTTTTATTTTCAATAATGTTAAGTATAATTCACAATTTCAATTTATGGAAGCAGTTGAAATTTTAAAATAATTTATTACCTATCCTAGCCCAAAAGCAAGAAACGTCATTGTCAAACTGTGTGATCGCTCGATTTCTTACTTGCCGTTGCCTTTCTCAATCAAAAAATGGCGAATCGTGGCGGTACCTCTAGACGCGTTCCTGAAAATGAAGCTGCTATCACATATGTGCAGTGCGATGGATTGGTAAATATCTGTAAAATACTTTATATTTCATAAACAACTTTTTACTACTAATTTTAAGTCGGACACGTCATGGTAGTTTCTTGTTTTTAACTTTTACTGCAGTAATATTTGTATAAAATGATGTTTGGATGCATTCATACTAATAATAAGGGTATGGGCATATTATTTACTTACAATAAATAACATTGAAGGGGAGTTATAATTGTACTGTTATATTTTGGGTTTAGGTTATGTTGACGACCTCTTTTATTTACCTGTCCCCTAATGAATTGACTGGATGAGTCACGTACCGTTTTGGAATACCTCTCTCTTTGTACATTGCATGATATCATCAGTTAAATTTTCTCTTTTAACATGAAACTAGTTTGTTGTACATATGCATTAAATATGGCTTTTGCCTTTGTTACATTGTTTTGATTAATATAAACAATACAATTAAACGAATCTTAAACACTTTGCTTCATAAGTGCTGCTTTTGCTATCACACATCAACATTTACATAAGACACTGTTACTGTATTTTGCACAAATACTTATAGAACTAACTAAATAACAGACATGAAAAGAATTTGTCACCGTTAAAAATATTTCTAGTAACCAGTAAGCAGTATTTATAGTAATGTGTCACTTTGTTACATACATTCTCCATTGCTGAAACACAAATAATAAATACATGTTAGTAGATAGTGAGAATCTACAGTAAGTCCAACAACACAAGTACAAGAAACAAAGACATTCAACTATGCTGTGTAAATATTCCAGGCGGTGATGAAAATAGTGAAACATTGCCACGAGGAGTCATGTAGCAACATGGAGGTGGCCCAAGGGGCCCTGTTGGGGCTGGTTGTGGAAAACAGGCTGGAGATCACCAACTGCTTCCCATTCCCCAAGCATGATGATACAATGGATGAGGAGGAATACCAGCTGGATATGATGCGTAGACTCCGCAGGGTCAATGTTGATCACTTTCATGTTGGATGGTGGGTTATTTTTGAATATAAACTTTCTTTAAATTCAAGTATTTAAATTAAAAATTGTACCAAAATTATTTAAATTATGGAAATGTACAGTAATTGCTGTAATTGATATTATGAACAACAATTGTTATTATTTGTATTATCACAGATTTTAAATAATAGTAGAAGTGTTTTGTTCATCTAATATAGTTTTTCTAATGTTTATAATCTAATGAATGAATACTTAAACATATTCTATAGCAACTCCCAAAATGTACATCATAAGTGCTGCTTAAAATTTGTTGCATTCCAAAATTTTAATGGAATTTGGAATTTAAGTGTGGTCTTATCATTTAAGAGGCTGTTACATATTTAAATGCTTTAAATTCAGCTTTGAGATAAATAGCTAATTAATATTTGTGCTTTGTTAATTACTGTATAAGTATTGTCTAATTTCCAGGTATCAAAGTGCCGATGTTGGTAATTTTCTGAGCCAGTCTCTGTTAGAGTCACAATATCATTATCAGACATCAATTGAGGAGAGTGTCGTAGTTATCTATGACACAAAGAAATCAGCTCGAGGCTTCTTGACACTGAAGGCATATAGATTAACTCCGCAGGTAAGTTAAAATAAATTAAATTACCATTGAAACACTTTATTTAATGATTAATTACTAATTTTCGCTATATACAAGCCTGTATAGTATTTTCTGTAAGTAAGGATGGAATAAAAAGATTCCATGCAAGTTTTAAATATCATTTCATGGTTACCTATTAACATATTAAAAATGTTAGCACAAATCTTACTTCTTACTAATATTATAAATGCGAAAGTTTAGATGGATGGATGGGTGGATGTTTTTTAGAGTTTGTACCCTAAACTGCTGTATGGATCTCGATGAAATTTGGCACAGATGTAGAGTATAGTCTTGAACACATAGGCTACTCAGTTTATTTTTTATTTCCACGTGGACGGAGTCGCTGGCGAAAGCTAGTAATAGATAAAAGTGAGAATATTGTAATATAAACTACACAATTTTAATAAGCATATGTTCATATATTATATAAAGTAACAAAATAAATCTAACCTTATAAATTTGAAAGTTTGTATCATAGCTGTAACCAAGTATCTCCAAAATGGCTTAATTGATCTTAATGGAATTTTAAACACAGGCTGCTTAGTACATTTTAATAAATTCTGTAAAGGTCGCTGGTAAAAGCTAGGGTAACTAGTATTCTTATTCTTAACTCATTGGTTAACCATGTTTTCCTAATATGTGTGTTTGATAATTTTATCTTTCAGGCAATAGCCATGTATAAAGATGGTGATTATACTCCAGATGCACTCCGTAATCTGAAGATTGGCTACGAGAGCTTGTTCGTAGAAGTGCCAATTGTCATTCGCAATTCGCCGTTGACTAATATCATGATGTCGGAGCTGTCGGAGATGATACCGGAGGAGGAGGGCTCAAAGTTCCTGGATTTAGGCACCGCATCAGTGCTTGAGGGTGAGTTTAAAGTTTATTGGTTGTTGTATTAATTGTTAACAGATTTCTGTATAGAATTTAGTCTGTTTAGAAAAGTTTAAAATTATCTATGGTATATTTTATAAAAAAAAAACCATAAGTTTAAGTCATACGAAGAGAATTTAATTTAAATTAAATTTCTAAACCACAATTAAATTTTAGGACAACTTCGTAGTTTAATGGAACGCGTCGATGAATTAAATCAGGAAGCAATCAAATTCAACCGCTACCAGCAGTTGGTTGTCAGACAACAGCAAGACAAGCACCGGTGGTTGCTCAAGAGGGCTCAGGAGAACTCTGCTCGTGCCGCTAAAGATGAGCCTCCGCTACCCGAAGAGGATGTGAATAAGCTATTCAAGCCGCACCCCGTCCCGTCTCGGCTGAACCCAATGATTGTAGCGGGACAGATTAATACATACAGTCAACATATAAGCCAATTCTGTTCGCAGAGCTTGGCCAAGCTGTATTTGACGCAAGCGCTGCAAAATGCGAAAGAAGCTAAGCAGAATAATTAATTTTGTATCTGGCAATTAAAGTAATCGAGGAATTTGTGGTTTTATTTTTGGTTTTAGCATGTTTTTGGTTGTAATTAATAAAATAAAACAGGTTTCAAGTATTGAAATTAACTTTTATTAAACAGCGAACTGATAAGGTATCTGTCTAAAATTATTTTGGCGGACAAGCTGTTATACATTTTTAATAAATAACGCCTAGAAAAAGAAAATAGTTGAAGTTTGAGAATGAAACAACTGTTATTAGTAATTTGGTTACGATTACGAAACAAGCGAAAACGAACATATCGTATTACGATATTCGTGAGATATTACGAACGGTAATCGACAATTAGGAGATACTATAATATATTATAGTATGCGGTATTGGACTTGTGCAGCGCCCAACCGACTGTAAAGTACCAACAAATCTCATTCAAATGTCGATGTTACAAATTCGTTCTCACAAAATTTGCGAAAATATTCGTATTAGCTCTCTATAAAATCTAGTCTACATTGCGTAGTCCATAACATTTAAAAAAAATCACCTATTATAAAATATTCTACCAGCAGATCTTTGATAAAAAATATACACTAATTAGCGTGAATGCTTACAAGTCAAGAAACATGAAGCGTTACTTCTTTCTCGACTATGTTCCATAAGGTTAAATACACTAATTAAAATTAAAGGTAATATTTCTTTTATCCTTTTTGTCTCGAAGTGCGTTCATATTTTTTGCAATTAAACCATATTATTTGTTTTTCGCCAGCTGTCTAGTATTGTTTAATGGCTTAATTTGGTTAATTCTCCTTGATGAGGCCGTAATAGACCTTCGGCTCGCTCCGAACTAGTAAAGCTTGTTCGAACCGACCGCCGACAAAGGCTAATAGCGATAACTTGAGCGATTGTCCCTTGATTGCTACAAATTGCTTCATCCTGCTACAGCAGAGCCGCCCCCGGATAATTGGGGCCAATCTTACCCTACAGTAAATTACTCCATACCTGTATAATGTCCCGTAATCGCGAATAAATTAATGTCCATGTGGACTTCCTTTCTATCGTATATGATCCAAAGTTGGATTTGTATCCTACTTGTAATGGCATAAATTTAATTTAATTACAAGTCTGCACAAGCACTGAGAGGAAGGCAGACAATATGGCTTAACACTACTCTTTCTTTTTAAATTGTTCTTGCATACATGGTCGATGGACTTAGAGTCGGTTTGACAATTTTTACTTTTCTTTCTGATGTTACTAGTCTGTTTTTCTTTATTTTTGCATCATTCATTTAGCCCAGTTCTTGATAATAGTCGACTTTACTGGTTTATTTTTAGGGCGTGTCCCACACAAATTTGGTATCTGTGCATATCAACAGAGTGCTACAAGACATCGCGTGCAAGTTTTTTTTTATAATTTGTATTATGACGAGTAATTTCACTTAATGAAGTCATTATACTCGTACATAATTAGATGTCAACCTTTCTCAAAATGGAATTTCGAGCCTGGGCAACTATTAGATTGCTAAATTTAAAGTAAATTGAAGGATCAACCACAATATTATGTTGGATGGGAACGCACGAACTCATTTAGTCATTAAAATAATATGTAAAAAAATATAGATAATATAAAAGAAGTTTTACTTTTACTGTAAGTTACTGGTATGGATTTATTATGCGGCGAGAGGATATAAAGAAAGTATTAGAGCAAAGGTAAGTTGATGTAAAGAAGTTTAATCCATTGGTAACTAGCTGTTGCTAGCGGCTTTGTCTGCGTAAATTAAAAAATACACCCTCTGTTACTGATAAATTACCTTTCTAATGGTGAAAGAATTTTTAAAATCGGTCCAATAGTTTTTACGTGGACCGAAAACATACATAAATACAAATCTTTGCTCTTTATAATAAAAGTATAGATATATGTACATCGCTTTAGGGTTTTCTCGAGTTTAATAGATGTAGGTGCAAATATATCGGCGTAGGTGTGAATAGAAATGGGCAAATGTTTACTAAGTGCCCGCGGCGTTCACGGCTGCAATTACACACCGTTAACGAGATGATCGGTTTACAAATATCAAAATTATACGATATCAGCTGGTTTCTTGACATTTTAAGTAAGACCAAAGGATAGGGCGTTTAGTGTAAAGTGAACGGGGTTATTATATTGATTTTATAGCACTAGATATACAAATTATATTAAGAAAGGTTTGTTATGTGTCATGTTCTTTACAAAGTATTAGATGCAGTTTTAAATTTGATTTGATTACTATCTGATTCTTTTTAAGTAATGTTTAACTTTGTTTTATGAATTTATTTCACATTAAAAATTCCTTATTTATCGCGAATTATGATAACAACAATTTGCATAACAATAGAAAAATTATACGTGGGTTTTGACACAGAAGAGGTGGACCTCATGCCTAAGTACGGGTCCAACATATGTTAAGGTTATGCCTTGTCTCTCAGTAACGTCAAGTTGATAACTTTTAAGTATTGGTTTTGAGGGAATTTAATCAAAAGCGAACACATAACAGTCATTACCGGGGCCGGTTAATTTCAAAGTATACGATAAACGATGCAAAAATAATATTTAAGGGAATTAGGGGCTGCCGTTGTTGAGGTGCGCAATTTGGAAGATTGCGCCGCGTCTGAGGCTCGTTTTCTGTGAATTTTTTAATTAAATTACGAGTCGGATGCTGCGAGGTTGATGGGCGAGCGTTTATCGCGGACAGAGTGACCTTCACGGGCCTTTTTGATCGAATTAACTTAATCGAGCTTGTAGTTTTTTTTTGTATTTCTCATTAACGGTGACACGAGTCTTGACTTTTTGGCAATTTGTGATAGGCATGTATGTACAGTGTAAAGTGATTACTTTCAATAAATTCTTTTTAATAATCAGAAAAAACCGTAATACGTGATTTTGAATGTAAATTTTATTTCTAATAAAGTATATAATTACCAAATATTAATTTTAGCTAAAATTTTTTAAATATAACCTGAAAAATATTATCAAGGATTTGCCAACATCTGTCATAGGATATCTTTGTAAAAACAATGCTAACGGGCCGAGCGTGGGCCAGTCGGTCGTAAATCCCTCAGCCAGGCTGCGCTTGATAACCCGAGAGTCCCTTGGGCCCGTGGGTGTGCGTCAACGCGGTAATGTCACCTATCTGTGCTCATAATTTGTTGTCTGTGGTACTTTGGTACCCTGTGGTAAAACGAAGTGTGAAATTTTGAGGTTAGAAAAATAAGAGACAGTTGTGTTTTTAAAAATAAAAGCCTTTGATGAAGGTTTTGAAATATTGTTAATTTGGTATATTTTCGATTAATCACCTTTTTAAAGTTCTGATTGGTAATATTGCGTAAGAATGTTTTTTAGCAATAATGTAATCGCAATCAGGTTATTTCTCAGTATTCGGCGGCCATACTTTCTCGTTTCAAGTAAAAACGTTTAGCAAGAACGTGTGCCGTAAATGCGGTTGTATCGGAGAACCGCAGAACAACCGATTAAATCAATTACATTTAATTTCTCTCTTTGCTTGTCAGGTGCTTATCGTAAATGATCTTGTCCCTGAGGTCAACAGGCGCTAATTTTAATCAACTTTAATTACATATGGTCATTTTTATTTCGTATTGAAATACACGCAGAAGTAAACGCAATTAAGATGGCTTTAAAATTATACTTTAAGGAATCTGATGTTTTGCTTTGTATTTTGCCTGCAATTTGTATGTAAAATTCAAGCATTATGCTTACGATGTCCGTAAGGTAAAGTTTGTTGCATAAACCAATATATTTTATAGTTTTATACTAATTAGTAAGTCACAAAGATTACGTATAACTGAACAACCAGAGTTTTATGATGATTGTGATTTAGCTTTATTCAAAATGAAATTTTATATCAGTTAGATATCTATACTATACTAATATCGTAAAGAGGAAAGATTTATATTTTCGCGTGTATTGAAAAAACTAAAAAACTACGGGGCCGATTTTAAAAATTCTTTCACTATAAGAGAGGTAAATCTGTGACTAGCAAAGACTATTTTTTATGATTTTAGTCGCGAGCAAGAGCCAGTCGTTTATAGAGTCGTGAGCCCTGAGTAACATATGCAAACACATATATTTTTTTCTAGTGTAATTCAAACTAAATAAGAGGCATATTAAAACATCTTTTAAAGCCGAAACATCATTTAAATTGCCTACATAAAGAAATTGATTTTGATATATCGATAGGTTTTATTTAACCGACACGATGAGAAAATTAAGTTAACCATAGATGCGGTAGAGGGCTCTGATGCTTCCAATTATGTGCTTACATATATGTACCGTGGTTTAAAGTTAAGTGGTCATAAATGTACGGTAGCTGATAACTTACGCCATCCTTTATAAGGATATACAACTTATGAAGGATAATGGAGTAACGATCAAAAGTCGTTACGGACGATGCAATTTGCTTACTATGTTGGTTAAGATATCTTAAAGCGATTTTATTTGAGTATGATCGTTACCTTTTATGTGTTTTTTTGGTAATCTACTATTTTATTTTAAAACTTAGCTAATGATATTAGGCTTAGTGAAGAATTTTATCCTTGTCTGGAATTTAAATTTTTTTAACTAATCATCATCCACTTGCCCTTATCCCTTACGGTCGGCACAGTATGTGCTGCTCTTCCATACATCTCTTTCAGCCGTCATATCTGAATCCACTCCTTTCTTAAGAATATCCTCTTTCACACAATCCATCCATACTTTCTTCGGTCTTCCTCTACTTAAAAAATACTTTTATAAAAGGACTTCTTTATTAGTTATAAGATTTAAGTGTTTTTTTAACTAATTATTACACATATTAAAAAGAAATATTATAAATGCGTAAGTTTAGACAGATGTGTGTAAAAGTTTGCAGCCTAAACGGCTGAACGTATCTGGATGAAATTTGGCATAGATGTAGAGGATAGTCTAGAACACATAGGCTACTCACTTTTGTTCTTTTTTTTATAACACGCGGAGGGAGTCGCGAGCATAAGTTTTAACTAATTATTTTGATCGGAATATTAAAAA